CGCGGCCGCACCGCAGGGGGGGGGTGCTGTGGGGGAGGGGGCGGCGCCGAGCGGCCCTGCGAAGCCCTGGAGACACTGCTCTAAGGGGAAAGGTTGGACTGAGATAGGATGCAGTTAGAAGGAAGGGGCGGGTGGGACCCAGATGTTCTGTTGCTCTGAGAGCTGGGGATGTATGTGGGAGTGAGATGGTTAGAAATGGCCCCGTCCATCAAGGCGCATGCGTACTGAGGGCCTTGACAACCAGGCTTCTTCAGAAAACCTGTGAGCCTGGGAAGGGGGGCCTCCACGCACATGCGCACTATCAAGTTGCGGTGCTGTAGGGTTATTTAGGTGTAGGAGTGGGGTCCTAGAACTGGCTTGCCACCTTTGGCGCAAAAGACCTTTGGTGCACCTTTGGTGCAGCTCAGCATCTGGGCTTTTAGGTATATAAACCCAGAAAGGTTTGGAACCCAGTATCTGAATTTTCTCACGCTTCAGATTAGGCAGGATTTGTGATTAATCTGACCTTCCCTTATTCTCCTCTTAACTCAGGCCTGTTTCTTGCAGGCTCAGCTATTAGCTTACCAGAAAGATGGATAGAAGAAATGACTATGGTTACAGGGTACCCACATTCCAGGTGAGACCTCTTTGCTTTCTTACCAGGCTATCTGCCTTGCCTTGAATTCACTTACCCCTCTGGAGCCCACTACCACTGTGTAGTTCCATAATTCCCTGCCTAGCCTGTCTCAGTCTTCCTTTGCATGATGGAGGGGGGAAGAGAGGAAATCCTGCCTGACTATCTCCTGCTCCCTTTCCCTTTCCCCACCCCATTCCAACCAAACTGCTCAGAAGAAGGGGAGGCTGTTGTGAAGAGGGGAGGTTGTAGGGAGGTGAAATTCCCAACAGGACCATAATCCTAAGTATGTAGGGCCCTCTGCCTCCCCCTGGGAGCCTGGGGCTTCCCTTCTCTCCAGATGGACAGAATGAGACCACAGAAGAGGATGGTGTCATGCTGATGCATACCCTGTTGTCAGCAACTAAGGACCCACCTACTGCCAGCCGGCCTAAGAAAAGCAAGACTAAGAAGACCTCTATTAAGGCCATTAATAAGACCATACCTGCTGCCCCTCCAGTCTCATCTGCCAATGACACTGCTACCAACAAGCCCAGAGTTACTCTGCAGGCTTTAAACCTACCAATGTTCACCCAGATCAGCCAGGCTTCAGCTACCACTGAGGCAGCCAATATCCAGGCTTCTTCAGTCGTTGCTCAGCCTAAGAAAGCCAAGGCAAAGAGAGTTTCTCCTAAGGTATCCCCAATCGGCAGTGAGGATTTCACTATACAGCTTAAGTCACCCTTGCAGGCTCTAAACCTACCAGTTACCTCACCAACTATCCAGTCTCCAGTACCCAGTGAGTCAGCCAATTCCCTGGCCTTGATAGCCTCCAGCAAGCCTAAGAAAGCTTCTAAGGCTAAGAAGGCTGCCAATAAGGCCATTGCTAGTGCCACTGAGATCTCACTGGCTCCAACTGCCACCCACGCAGCTACTACCCAAGGCCAAACTGCCAACGAAACAGCCAATATCCAGGCCACAGTGGCCTCTATCCGAACCAAGAAAACTTCCAAACCTAAAAGGACAACTGCTAAGACCATAAATACTGATGCTGAACATCTAGAGTCCTCAAATGCTAATGAGGCATCTAACAGACAGGTTGAGGCCTCAGCAGTAGCTCTAAGGCCCAAAAAACCCAAAGGCAAAAAAGTTGCCAATAAAGTCACAAATTCTGCTTCTGAGATCTCTGAGGCTCCACCTGCCATCCAAATGGTCCCAAACCATGGTCTGTCCGTCACTGTGCGGATCAGGAGAGGGTCTAGGGCTCGAAAGGCTGCTACTAAGACTCGGGCAACAGAAAGCCAGACCCAAATTGCTGACCACGGAGCTCAGGCCAACATGGCTTCCTCTCAGAACAGCATAAGTGCCCTTGAGACTCAGGTCGCTGCTGCTGTCCAGGCCTTAGCAGATGACTATCTGGCTCAGTTGAGTTTGGAGCCCACAACTAGAACTCGGGGAAAAAGGAACCGGAAGGTGAGATCTGTGACATCTTCCTTAACTTTGTGCTGCCTTTGCATTCGTATCCTAGATTGTTTATTTGTCCTATCAATATTTACAGAGCCTATTCACTTTGAACTAGACCCTGTGTTCACATAGGTTATAGGATATGCTGAGAAGAGTGTCATATACTTTTGAGTAGGGAAGTGAGACATCTGTATACTTAGAGAAGACATATGTGTAACTCACTTGGTATTTGCGTAGTGTTTAATTATGTGCCAGGCTTTGTGTCATATACATTTATGCAGATTATACCCATATTTCTTGAAAGTAACTCATTAACTTGGGACTAAAAGTCTCAGCTTTATAGAGAAAAAAACAAAGCCCCAAAGTGAAAATTTGTCCAAGGGCTATTCCTAGCAAAGTCCAGTGGTGGCCAAAAAAAAAAAAAACCCCAAAGTCCCAGGCTGTGTCCTTAGATTGCTCCTGCCCTAGGAGGTGAAGAAAACTGTTCTTTAGAAGATAGTGAAAGAAAAGTCAGGGAGTCAGGGTAGCCACGGATAGGGTCAGGCCCCTCTGTAGGATAGGGTTTAGGGGGACTTTCTGGTAGAAACAGCAGTCTCTTTCACCTGGTGACTCTGGACATGTCTTCTTTCTGATGATAAAGTCTAAGCATCCTAATGGAGAAGAGAGAACTGGCAGTAATTACAGGCGGATCCCATGGGGCCGAAGGCCTCCGCCACCCCGAGATGTGGCTATTTTGCAAGAAAGGGTAAGAATCCGACCTTCCTGTGTCCTTTTTTTTCTTTCTTCCTTCTTCCTTGTCATTCTCCCAAGTTTTCTGCCAACGTGTTGATACCTCCCCAACTGTTCCTTTTCCAGGCCAATAAGTTGGTGAAATACCTATTGGTTAAGGACCAGACAAAGATCCCCATCAAGCGCTCAGGTAGTCTCTCCTTGAGCTCTTCTCACCACTACCTTTTTCCCCATGGCCTCTGGGTAACTTTATTTTTCATGGACTCATCTCATACTTCCTTACTTGCCCCACTCACTTCACCATCGCTGCCCTGACCACACTGGGCTGGTAAAAAGTCTGTACTCATATGGCCTCTGCTCAGCTCAGCTTCTTCTATCTTTCCCTTCCTGCAGACATGCTGAAAGATGTCATCCAAGAATATGACGAATATTTCCCAGAGATCATTGAAAGAGCAAGCTACGCTCTGGAGAAGGTGAAGAGGCAGCCCTGAAGAGTGGGCACACTGGGGAAACCTTGAATGGAAAAGGGGTGTATGATGACCCTCATGAGGAAGCACAGAGACCTGCAAATACATCCCCATCACTGTGCAGATGATCAGAGTGGCCTAGGGAAGAACATAGATCAGCCATCAGTCACACAGCAAGTCAGTGGTGAAAACACAGCTAGGACCCAAGCCATTCAGCTCAGTGTTGGCTTCTGTCTGCTGCTGGGTATATCACCTCATGTATTTCAGATGCTCATGTCTCTGTCTCCCTGGATTCCTACTGATCACAAAGATGATGTGGGTGATCATCGGATGTTTATGTGTTTAATGTGTGCTCAGTACTGAACTATATGCTTAACTTGCATTTTCTCACCCCCAGAAAACCCTTAGGTGTACAGTGAACTGCAGAATGCCCAAGATGCTAACTGATGCCTAAGACGAATTTTGTGATCTCACAGATTGTTCTTTTGCTTGGCAGATGTTTCGAGTCAATCTGAAGGAAATTGATAAGCAAAGTAGCTTGTATATTCTTATCAGCACTCAGGAATCTTCTGCAGGCATACTGGGAACGTAAGCTGGGAAAATGCTGGGGTGGGGAGGGGCTTCTGCTTCATCCACGGTAGTGCCCTTTCCCTGCCCTCTCATCCCATATCCTCTTAGAGGCCCAGGAAAGAGGGCCTAAAAGCCCCTGCCCCAGCCCACACCTGGTTGGGAGTGTGTGCAGTGGTGGTGCCAGATTGTGACTGGTGGAAGGGTTTCAGAGCCCGGAGTGGGGCATTCCTGCTATCAGGTTGGCTTTCTCTCCAGAACCTCCCGTGAAGTCAGTCTATTTTTACTTGTCTCTTCTACTGAATGCCTGACCTTGGTAGGCTGGCTCTCAAAAGAGGACTTTCTGGTGTGGGTGGGCCATGATTGAGGGCAAGACCCATCAATGGGGCTATGTCTACAATTGTCTCAGTGGGAGCTTTGGGAGAAAAAGGAAGGACTCCTATTGACTGAGTGCCTACGTTATCCTAGGTTGACAGGCATTCTTCCATCTCCTCCTCAATCCTGGATAGGGAGGGGTAGGATGCGGTTTCTCATTTAGCTGAATGGAGACTTTGGCTCGATGGTGAAAGCACCATGCTTTGGGTCATAGATAACTGGGACCCCAGACTAGGCCGAATTCTTCCATACCTGAGGAATCTGGGAGAGGCTAATGTAGTGAGCTGGCTGCTATGTCTTGCAGATGGCTTATAGTTCTAAACTTTCTCTCTGTCTTATTATTCCCTAAGGACCAAGGATACACCTAAACTGGGTCTCCTTATGGTGATTCTGAGTGTCATTTTCATGAATGGCAACAAGGCCAGTGAGGGTGAGTGACTGGACAGGCAGCTGAATGGGTGGTCATTGTCTGAACTGCAGGTGCTCATTTTCTGTCCCTGTCTTCTTGCCTCCCCTTGCAGCTGTCATCTGGGAGGTGCTGCGCAAGTTGGGACTGCGCCCTGGGTACGATTGGGCTCTCTCTGTGCTTGCTGTCCGTGTTGTCTTTTGGCAAGAGGACGGTCCCAGGATTGCATCAGCCTGGTGGTCTGGTGGAGCATGTGGGAGTAGTGGGGGAGGATTTCTTACCTGGATGGGTGACAAAGTGGTTCTGAACTTTTTGATTTCTTTTCTCCTTATGTCCTCTCTGTCTATTCTGAGAAGAGATATAAGGTAGACCTGCAGGCATTTCTGACAAAGAGTCATCTGGCCTTCACTGTTTGCTTCTAGTGGTCATATGCTCACTACTTCCTTCATTGCCTCATGGGCTCTAGAAGTCTCTTCTGTGTTGAGACATACCTCTGCCTTCCCTTGGGCAGTTCTGAGCTGTGTTCACTGACTATTTTTCCTATTGCCAGGGTAAGGCATTCACTTTTTGGAGAAGTAAGGAAACTCATCACAGACGAATTCGTGAAGCAGAAGTAAGTCGTGTTTCAAGGTTTCTATGTAGCTCTTGGTGCACTGTCTTTAGATGAATGGGCATCCTGTGTCCTAGACCTGAGACCTGGCTAAAGTTCTTGTGGGTCGACCTGTCGAGGGCTTAGGCCATGACTCCTTAGGAAACTGTAGTGGGGTGTGCTCAGAGCAGGGACCCAAAAATGGTCACTCTGTTTGCAGTACACCCAACAGTAATTTGGGGTTAGTCTTACAGGAGGCAAGGCTCGTTTGTCTTCTGTAGCATCCGGTCCCATATAAAAATTGCAAATAACTGTTTTCCATGGAATTCTGTGTGGGAATGAGTCTGGGGCTGAAGGGTTTTGAAAAGTTTTCTCTGGGAATTATTTGATGTTTCTTTAAAGAAGATTGTGCTGTCTGTGGCCTAATGGCTAAACAACTGTTTTTGCTTGATTAGAAGCAAGTTGTATTTCCTTTCTTTAAGGTATCTGGAATACAAGAGGGTCCCCAACAGCAGACCACCTGAATATGAGTTCTTCTGGGGCCTGCGGTCTTACCATGAAACTAGCAAGATGAAAGTCCTGAAGTTTGCATGCAAGGTAATGTGTGTCCTGAGCTTGGCATGTTAAGGGAACGGCATATTTCTCACTGAAGCAGGCTGTGTGCAGTGACAGGCAGGTACAGGTCAATGGACATTTTTTATAGAAGCGTATGAAACCTCAGTGTTCCAGCATAGTGCAAGATAAAGATCTCGCATTGTCTCATTCATTTTTCACGCCTTTTATCAGTCAGCTGAGGCTGCTATTACAAAGCACTATGAACAGAATGGTTTAAGAAACAGAAATAGGGGGATAGAGAGATGGTTTAGCAGTTAAGAGCACTAGCTGCTCTTCCAGCAGACCTCAGTTTGATTCTCAGCACCCACATGGTGGCTAACAACCTTCTGTAACTCCAGTTCCAGGGGATCTGACACCCTCTTCTGGCCTCCATGGGCTTCTCATGACATGGGTGCACTTATATACATGCAGGCAAAACACTCATACACATAAAATAAAAATAAATGATTTTTTCTTTTAAGAAACAGTAATCGATTCTCTGAAAGTTCCAGTCCTAGGTCAACTTCCAGTACAACTAGTTTCTGGTGAAGGTTCTCCTCCTGACTTATAGACACTAGCTTTTTGCTATGTTTTCACATGGCTGAGAGCAAGCCTGAGCTCATTTGTGTCTCTTCTTATAAAGGCAATAATCCTATTGGATTGGGGCCTTACCTTGATGCCCTTATTTAACTGAAGTTATCCCCACAAAAGGCCCTATTTGCAAATACAGTCACATCGGGGACTGAATGTTCAATATAAAAATTTGGAGGAGGCCAGGCGTGGTGGTGCACGCCTTTAATCCCAGCACTTGGGAAGCAGAAGCAGGAGGATCTTTGTGAGTTCGAGGCCAGCCTGGTCTACATAGTGAGTTCCAGGACAGCTGGGGCTACAGGGAGACCCTGTCTCAAAAAGACAAAAAAAAATTGGGGGGGAAATACACTCAGTCCACAACACACTTACTCTCTCCATATCACAAGTGGAGACACTGGGGCCCAGTAAGACTAAGTAACTTGTCCAAGGACATAACTCGTACCTAAGTTATCAGAGCTGACGTAAGAATATTACTTTACTTACTGCTATTTGTTTTGTGCTGTTCCCATAATAGGTGTTTCACACATGATTATAAGGGCTGTTTTTCTTACAGTAATTCCAATTTCAATTTTAGGTACAGAAGAAAGACCCTAAGGACTGGGCTGCTCAGTACCGGGAGGCAGTAGAGATGGAAGTCCAAGCTGCAGCTGTGGCTGTGGCTGAGGCTGAGGCCAGGGCTGAGGCAAGAGCCCAAATGGGGATTGGAGAGGAAGCCGTGGCTGGGCCCTGGAATTGGGATGACATGGATATTGACTGCCTAACAAGGGAAGAGTTAGGTGATGATGCTCAAGCCTGGAACAGATTTTCTTTTGATATTGAGGCCAGAGGCCAAGAAAATGCAGATACCAATACTAATCTCGACTTCACCCAAGGAGCTAGTACCAGAGGTAGTTTCAGCGATGGTGCTGGTATTAGCTTCGGGGGCGCGCCCAGCCCCAGTGGTGGCTTCGGTGGCAGAGCTGGCATCACCTTTGGTAGTGTACCCAATACCTCTGCCAGCTTCAGCAGTGCAGCAAGCATTAGTTTTGGTGACACACCCAACACTAGCAGTAGTTTCGGTGGTGGAGCCAGCATTACCTTCGGTGGCACACCCAGTACTAGTGCCACCTTCTGCAACACAGCCAGCATTAGCTTTGGCGGTACACCGAGCACCAGTACTAGTTTCAGCAGCACAGCCAGCATTAGCTTTGGCAGTGCACTGAGCACTAGCACTAGTTTCAGCAGCACAGCCAGCATTAGCTTTGGCGGTGTGCCCAGCATTAGCACGAGTTTCACTGATGGATCCAGCATTAGCTTTGGTAGTGCACCCACCACCAGTGCTGCTTTCAGCGGCGGAGCCAGTATTAGCTTTGGTGGTACACCCTGTACCAGCGCCAGTTTCAGCGGCGGTGCCACCTGTGCCTATGGAGGCACACTCGGCAGCACCACAGCTGCCTTCAGTGGTGCACTCAGCACCAGCACCAGCTTCGGCAGTGCACCTACCACGAGCACTGTCTTCACTGGCGCACTTAGCACCACCACTGGGTTTGGAGGCACACTTAGCACCAGTGTCTGCTTTGGTAGCTCTCCCTGCTCTGGTGCCAACTTTGGAGGCACACTTAGTACCAGTATCTGCTTTGGTGGCTCTCCGAACACCAACACTGCTTTTGGTGGGACACTCAGCACCAGTGTCTCCTTTGGTACTTCTAGCACCAGCTCTGACTTTGGTGGCACACTAAGCACTAGCGTCAGCTTTGGTGGCTCTTCTGGCACCAGTGCTGGCTTTGGTGGTGCACTCAACGGGAGTGCCGGTTTTGGCAGTGCCATCAGCACCAGTGCCAGCTTTAGTGGTGCACTCGGGAGCAATGCCAGCTTTGGCAGTGCCGTCAGCACCAGTGCCGGCTTTGGCGGTGCACTCGGGAGCAATGCTGGCTTTGGTGGTGCTGTCAGCACCAGTGCCAGCTTTGGCAATGCATTCAACACCAGTGCTGGATTTGGTGGTGCCATTAGCACCAGTGCCGGATTTAGTGGCACACTGAATGGAGGTGCGAGCTTTGGAAGTTCCGTCAGCACCAGTGGTGGCTTTGGTGGCGCACTCAGCACCAATCCTGACTTTGGTACATTCAGTACCAGCGTTGGCTTCGGTGGGGCTCTCAGTACCACTGACTTTGGTAGTACTCCCAGTAACAGCATTAGCTTTGGCAGTGCTCCCACTACGAGTGTCAGCTTTGGTGGCTCTCACAGCACCAGCGTCTGTTTTGGTGGAGCCCCCAGCACCAGCCTCTGTTTTGGCAGTGCATCTAACACCAACCTATGCTTTGGAGGTTCTTCCAGCACCAACTCCTGTTTCACTGGTGGAACCAGTGCCAGTTATAGCGAGGGGCATAGCTCCAGTGCCGGTTTCAGTTTTGGCAATGGGTTAGGCACCAGTGCTGGCTTTGGAAGTGGACTGGGTACCAGTGCTGGATTTGGTGGCAGCTTAGGCCCCAGTGCTGGCTTCGATGGTGGCCTAGGCACCAGTGCTGCCTTTGGCAGTGGACTAGGCACCAGCACTAATTTTGGTGGACTAAGCCCTAGTGCTGACTTCAGTGGAGGACTGGGTACCAGTGCTGGCTTCGGTGGCAGACTAAGCACCAGCACTGACTTCAGTGGTGGACTGGGCACTAGTGCTGGCTTTGGTGATGGACTGGGCAGCAGTGCTGGCTTTGGTGGTGGACTGGTCACTAGTGATGGCTTTGCTGGTGGACTGGGTACCAGTACTGGCTTTGGCAGCACATTTGGCACTGGTGCAGGCTTCAGTGTAAGCCTCAGCACCAGCGATGGCTTTGGCAGTGGGCCTAATGCCAGCTTTGACAGAGGACTGAATACCGTCATTGGCTTTGGCAGTGATTCCAACACCAGCACTGGCTTTACTGGTGAACCCAGCACCGGCTCCAGCTTCAGTAGTGGACCCAGTTCTATTGTTGGCTTTAGTGGTGGACCAAGCACTGGTGCTGGCTTCTGCAGTGGACCAAGCACTGGTGGCTTTGGTGGTGGACCAAGTACAGGAACTGGCTTCGGCGGACCAAGCACTGGAGCGGGCTTCGGCGGACCAAGCACTGGAGCGGGCTTCAGTGGTGGACTGAGCAGCAGCGCTGGCTTTGGTGGTGGACTCAATGCCAGTGCTGGATTCAGCGGTGGACCAAGCACCGGTGCTGGCTTTGGGGGTGGAGCCACTAGCCTTGGTGCCTGTGGCTTCTCCTATGGCTAGTGAAGTTTCAGGTAACTGCAATATCCCATAGCTGGGGTCCACAGGGATGAGTATAGTAACTGGGAGATACTAGAAAAGACCCTAAGATAGGAAAGCTGGGTGAGAAGATGAAGACAAGGAAGAATGAGAAAACAGAATTGGTGCTAACATGCGTTTCTGCTTTTGGGGGTTTTCCCTAGGTCTACTCCCCATGTTGACAGATGAAGCAAAACTTCCCATGGAGCCAAGGTATAGCTTTGGAATCTTTGTTCACACAGCAGCCCAAGCAGCTATGACCCATCAGCTGAGAGTGACACACTGAAAAAAATCTGCTGTTCCTGCTTTGTTGTTTGCTTCCTGTGTGTTGTCCTATTTTGGTATCAGAGTTACATTAAATTTGGCAAACGAACCCGAGTTTATTCCATTTTTTAATATGGTTAGAGAGTTATGAGGTTTTGATCTGTAGAACAGCTGGAGTTCAACATAGCTCGAGGGGAATTTGGGGCTCCAGGCAGGTATTTCTCAGGGTCAAAGGGGTCTGAGATAGACAGGGATAATAGTGTGTGGAAGGGGAAAGTCGGAGGCAGAAGGCGAAGAGAAAGCTGTGGATAGTAAATTCACCTTCATTTTGAGTCATGTGTAAGGAATGGAGGGATAAAAGGGGAAGGAACAAGGAGTAGATGTGGGAGCAAGGGGGTTACCTTGGGATAGGAAAGAAAGATAAGTATAGAGTGTGGGGCCAAAGCCAGTAGAGGGGCAGGAGATAGGTACAGAAGAGTCAAAAACTGACAAGGATGAGAAGGTGGAAAGGGATAGAGTGCCAGAAAATGTAGGGTGACCCTGACTTTGAACAGGGTAGTTGTGCAAGTGAATAAATAGATCTACTTCAAGCAATGGTCAGCAACTCTAGTAGATCTCAGCAAAAAGGTGTGGATGATTCAAGGTTTAGATCTTGCTGGGTGGTTGTGATGAAAGGACAAGGTAACAAAGGTAACAGGTTCGTGTGTTTGTTTAATCACAAGATCATTGGTACTTGTGATAATAGACAGATAGGGTCCAAGGTGCTTAGGGGTGGAGAACTATTGCAAGACTAATGAAGTAGGAGTCAATGGAGGACTCGGACTGTACTGGTGATGTACAAGGGCAAATACTGTTCATTGAAGAGATAACACATGAATGCCTATGGTGTGGGGGTCTGCTGCCAAAGACCCTATGGATGACGTAATTGTATGGAATCTCAAATGAGTGGGAGCCTTCCATTCAGTAAGTGAGACAAGAGAGATGATGCCAAGAATGAAAAGGAGACAGTCATTGAAGTTGGGGGTGGGGGTGGATACATAATTCACATGGACAATAAAATATCTCAAGATGGTAGCAAGAATTGGAGGAGAGTGGGGCACTTGATCCAAGTACCAGATTCTTCTGAGGATAATGATGAAGGTGTCCTGTCCATGCATCTTGACCACCAAAGATCAAGGCCCACGGTCACTCACAAGGACCTATCTTCTCCATCTTTAAAGGTGCCAACCCAGGACTTCCCTCCCAGAAGTCTTCACCCATTCTACCCCAACAGCACTGAAGTTGGGTCAGGATCAAGGTCTTGAGAGCAAGGGAAGAAGCCTTATCATGGCCTCCTGTCCTATAGGCAGGGAGAAATATTTATTGATCAGAGAATAGTAATTTTAAAAAAGCTTCATCCACAACTAGATAGGCTTCTTCACTGGAGGTAAGGCTCTCTCAGGCCAAGACCAGAGTCTGCTCTTGGGAGAATAGCAATAGCAGCAGTTCCTATAAGTGGAAAGCAATGAAGACAGAGGCAATCTGACCACTTGGAAAGGGCTAGTAATGGGCAGGGACAGTGTCCAGGGCTTCCTCGGGTTCACGGGTGATGTCCACATTCTGAGAAGAGAGCCTAGGGTTAGCAGGAAGTGTAGGGGCCCCCTCCCAGCCCCTCTTCTTGTCCTTTGCCAGGTTGCCCTCTTTCAGCCGAGACTGGGTCCTGATGCTCTTCTCAGGCATGCTTGCTTGGGGAATCAGCCCAAGGCCTGTCTGGTAAGGATTGTCACAGCTGAGTCTTTATGGTGCCTCAGGCCTAGGCCATGGTTCTTGGTGTTTCTGAGTGCTGATTGATGTGAAACACCTGGGATCTGCAGGGCTGACAGCCTTTCCATGTGGGAGGGTACTTTCAGAATGTGCCTTAACAGCCAGCTTGTACAGAGCCCCTTACCTACCTCAGGTTTGTCCCGGTGTGTGTTCACAGCCTCTACATTCAGGTAGATGGACTCCACTTTGCAGCCTCAGAAAAGAACAGACTCATGTCCATAAACCCTCAGGTTAAGCCCAGGTCTTCCCTGAGTTATCATTCCCTTCTCCCATCACTGCCCACACTCCAGTCCACACTCTAGATTACATCTACCCTGAAGGGAAGGGAATTCAGATGAGCTGCAGGGTGGGTTGGGAAGACTCCAAGCCTAAGGGCCCAGTAGTCAGCAGTTATTCTCCCAGCTCTGCCCTTAACTGCCTCTGTTCTTTCTGATTCAGTTGCTCATTTGTACATGGAGAAATAAATGAGAGATGATCTCTGTGCTTCACCAACTCTTGTGACCCATGAGAAAGTGATGTAAGTTTGACAGCACTGATGATCCTCCAAACCATGCTAAATGGAAGAGTCCTAGGCCCCTGTTCTGCTTACTCACGCCCAGGTAAGGTTTATTCAAAGGACAATGTGGTTATAGGAACACCAGAGGTTTGGAGGTACCAGGAAGTTCTAAGGATCCTGAGGGAGGAGCAGAGTGTGTCACTAGTGGCTGAAGCTAGCCAAAGAACCCCAGTGCTTTACTGGTAACCCCCTTAGCTCCATTCCTGTGGACTGCATCCTATCACAGTCTTCACTAAACCATTCTATCCTGTTTCACACCCCAAACTGAATTTGATTCTATCTTCTACCTGCTTATGAACCGTTCATAGATAATTAGTGCCCTGATAGAGGCTAAACTACCCAGAATAATCTTTGAGCTCTTTCTTCAATATGGCCCCAACCTATAATTTTCCTGCGGTTCCTGTTGGGACCCCCTGGCCCAACACAATGTTTCTGTACTCATTATTCAGACAGAGACAGAAAGTTAGAACCAGGCCCCAGATTTAGAGGCTATCCTAGTTCTTCCCTGCTACCCTATTACCACCCACCCAGGGAACCTCCCCCAGGAACTTTCTAGAGCAAATGGCCAGCACTGGGGACATGCTCCTGTCCTCTGTGTGCCTTTCCTTAGATGATAGTGGGTGTACTCACCATAAGCCACAGGTGTGAGTTTGAGCACTGTGTGCAGAGGGCACTTGAGATAAGGCAGTTCATCTGAAAAGGAGAAAAAGCCCTGAGAGATTTGGTGCTGTGTCCACAACCAGGTTTGCTGGTTACTCCCACTTCTACTTTTGCTTCCTAGTTGGGCCTGAGCAGAAACTCACATTGAGCAGGGGGGCAGTGAGGGGAACAGGCTGACAGGGCAAAAGAGAGCAACCAGGCTGCCTGGGAACAGAGAGAGACAAGATGGCCTTGGGAAACATGGACAGACTGAGTCCCATGGGAGAGCCACACAGCCCACTCAGAGACCTCAACTCCTTACCCTCAGAAGACGAATGTGAGCCTCCATCCTGCCCCAGTCTAGAGCTTCCATAGACCTCTCCACTACAGCCTCACCCCCACAAGGGTCCACAACTCCTACTGGTACGTGTTCTCTGAGAGCCTCTTTTGTGCCAGTTCCATGAAAGAAGTACATGTGGCACTAGGCCATTCCTACAGTCTTCCCCTGAGACCAGCCCCCATGTGCGTGCGTGTGTGGGTGCGTGTATGGGTGTGTGTGTGTGTGTGTGTGTGTGTGTGTGTGTGTGAGAGAGAGAGAGAGAGAGAGAGAGAGAGAGAGAGAGAGAGAGAGAGGGAGTCCTACAATTTGTTCATGGACAAACATTAATTGATTCACTGGTATTTTGCTATTATGTAGACGGTTATTCTGAAATTTTTGTACAATTTCCTGTCTGGGCCGTTTCTGCTTGTCAGGCAAACTGAGAGAATGGGGTGATCTGACTGATTCCATAGATAAGGAAATGAGCTTGAAGGGGAAAGGTAGTGGTCTGAATTCAAATGGCCAACAAGTAGCTATCTGGGGACTCTAACCTAGGATGCTCTGAGGATAAGATGACTTTTCTGCTCTTGCAGTCTGTTGCTACTGCCACGGAGGAGCTCACAGTGTACTGGGGGTGGAACACCTACCTGCTGGGCACTTTATCCAGATATCTATATTCCCACTATCTAGGCTGCAATACTTATCCTTAGCTCCCTTCATTTAGCTGGAATACCACTTGTCATGGCTTCTTGTCCCTTAGGTTCATTGTACGCTTTCAAGGCCTACCAATCACCCTCCCAACCTCCTAACCCATCAGGCTGGGTATTTACCTCATAATCCATCCTGTTCCTCCTCATGGTCATAATCATCATAATCATGATCTGGGTTAAGAACTTTTTGTGTATGGCCACACTATATCCTCACTGATGCTCTGGGCCCTGTTTGCTCTCACTGCCCACATATGGAAATAGATTCAGAGAAGAGAAGTAACTTATCTGGGTCTCTGACCCAGCTCTGCCACTCACTTAACTAGTAACCTTGACTCAGCCTCTTCTCTCTCTGGGCCTCAATTCATACTATCTCTCTTTTCCCCAAGTAATGGGGGTAAAACCATTTGCCTAGGGCTGCCTGACTTGACTCCCAAGACAGTTGTGAGGAGCTAGGATAGTCTGTGCATGAAAGAGGGAAAGAAGTGGAGACATAAGGTAGTAACTACACCCTGCTTCCAAAGTATATTTGAGAGTGGAGGGCCTCTGTAATGCACCTTGGATTAACTCTTATCCCTGCCATTCACATGATGTTGAGCAAGTTACTTCACCTCTCTGAACCTTGGTTTTTTCATCTGGGCAGTGGAAATTATACTGCCTGCCTCACAATCTAAAAGAATGCCCTGAAAAGCAAAAATGTGAATATATCAGAATTCTAGCACTGAAAGGACCCCTCATCACATATCCATCATCTATTTTAGGTAAGGAAATTGAAGACAAGCTAGAGAATATGACTTGTTTACTCCCATGTTCTCAAGTTCTCTGAGTTCCAGTCTGGATTGTTCCATATTTTATATGCTCTTTAGTTTGAAATTAGCATAATAGAAAAGATCTAAGAGTTCAGGAGATTGTGGGCATTAAATACCATTTAGCATTGTCCCCAAACACTTTTTAAATATCCAATGGACTCGTGAAGGAAATACAATAATTTCTTGCCAGGTCACCTGTCTTAGTTGGCAACTCAGTACATGTAGTCTCTGTATAGATACTTTTATAAATACTGTGTCTGGGTATTTTTAAAGATAAATTACCACTTGAAAAGTTAAAACTCAAATATTGCTATCTTGGACAAATTAACCCTATAGTAAAGACAGAAACCTGTTATCAGGATCATGAGGCCATGAATGGTCCTACTATCAGCTGAGGGTGGTATGTTTCAGAAATATACTGGTTCAGTATTTGAAGCTGTGTCAGACTGTTTATGCTAGTTTTCAATATTAACTCATAATAATAATAATGGCACCACAGACCATACAAGGCATCATGTGCTCTAAACTCTTTTCATGTTTATTTCAATTTCACCATTAATTGTCTCCATTTTATAATAAAGCTAAGGAAACTGAGGCTCAGTGGGGAAACAGTACTTCTCAAAGGCAGTATATTTGGCATGTAACCAAGAGTCTGAACCTAGATATCTTTGTTTTTGGTATTGTGCTTTTAAGCACTGCAATATAAACCACCAATTGCTGGCAACAGTATCTCAAATTACATCTACCCCTCCACATCAAGAAGAAAGAGGAGGGTGTTACCTGAACTTTTATCCAGGAAGTAGGCCAGGAGGCACCGCATGACAGCCTGATGACAGATCACCAGTACATTTTCCTGTCGTTCTAGCTCCATTATAACTGGTTCAAGACGCTGAACCAGATCCTCATAGGACTAAAAGAGAGAGAAGTAATTGGTAAGGAAGAAGGACAAAGTATATTTACAGACATGAACCTTAGTCCAAGAATCAAGAAAACTTGGTTTGGTAATAAGTTGAATTATTGACCCAACAATATGTTTAGGCAAATCATTCATTTCTCAAGGTCTCACTTTCTCATCTGTTAAATGGACCGAGCAATAAATATGCGCTAAAAACAACAATATAGCTCTTAACTATGAAATATCTACTTAACTGCATAGCTGATGTTTCAAAAGAATAAGGAAAATTCTGACTGTAGTACTCCAAAATGAAAAGTTTGAAAAAAAAAAGAATGAGTGGGTGAGGAAGCCATAACTATCCTGGGGCATGTGGCAATCATAGTAATCAAAAAGTTTGAGTTTTTAAAACCTTATAGAAATAGGAAATAAAAGTCAACATAAATCTGAGACTCTCAGAAGGCAAATCTATATAAGCTCAGTAAAACTTTAAACTAGAAAAAGTCCATTCACAGGGAAAAGCAAAATAGTAAGAAAATGTATCTGTGTCTCTTTGATTCTGATGGAAAAATTTGGAAGCGCTTCCTGTAACAATTTATAAATAAAGGCTGAGGGTGTAGAGTACATGTAGGAAATCTTTGGTTTGAAACACAGTAACAGAAAGAAAGGAAAGGAAGGAAGGAAGGAAGGAATGAACAAACAAAAGAAGGAATGAAGGAAGGAAGGACCAAAGAAAGAGAGAGAGAAAGAAAGAAAGAAAGAAAGAAAGAAAGAAAGAAAGAAAAAGAAAGAAGGAAGGAGGGAGGGCATGATAGAGGGGAGCTGAAGGAAAGGGAGAGAAAAGAAAATGGAGGAAAAAAGAGATGGAGGCGAAATAAACTAATATCTAAACATATAAGCATGAAGCTTAAAAGCAACAGAGATACAAAGACTTTCCAAGAAGCCAGAGAGCAAAGACACAACAACTAAACTCAACAAGTTTCTTAGCCAGAATAGAAATTCTAAGGCAATTCGAGAAACACCTTCAAAGTGCTGAGAAAACAACAGCCAACTGAGAGTTTTACATGCAGCCAATTATCTTCTAGGATTGAAGACATACCCCGAAGATAATTTTAGACATAATGAAGGGTGAAAATACCATCAACAGATTCTCTGTAGAGAAACGTCCACAGGAAGAAGGAAAATGACCCTAGAAATTAGACTTGAGATATAAGGAGCACGAATGATCAAATTATCAAAGTTAACTGACTTATAAAAGCAACAGTAACAGCCGACAGCCTGAGAGTGCCTGATCTGGCCTCCACCTGGGGTAGGGGCTGAGAACTCAGCAGACAGCCTGACAGTACCAGATCTGGCTGCCACCAGAGAACTCCTAGAACTGATTGACACTTTCAGTAAAGTAGCAGGTTAAAAATTAATCTACAAATATTAATAGCCTTTCTATATATCAATAACAAGCAATTGGAGAAAGAGTACAGGTAAACCCTCCCATTCACAGTAGCCTATATATATATATGAATAAATCTGACCAAAGACATCAAAGATCTCTACAATGAAAATTTTAAAGAGATTGAGAAAGACACCAGGAGATGGAAGGACCTCCCATGCTCATGGATTAGAAGAATTAATATTGTGAAAATGATCATCCTACCAAAAGCAATATACAGATTCAATGCAACCCCAACAAAAATCCCCAAGACATACTTCACAGAATTAGAAAAAAATCCTTACATTCGTATGGAAGCACAAAAGACCCCAGATAGCCAAAGCAACCCTGAGAACAAAGAGCAAAGAGGGGGGATTACTATACCAGATCTCAAAGTATACTAAAGAGCTATAGTCATAAAAACAGCATGGTACTGGGCACAAAAATAGACATGTAGATCAATGGAACATCATTGAAGACCCAAACATGAGTACACTCAATTTCAGCCACCTGATATTTGACAAAGGTGCCAAGAACACACAATGGAGGAAAGACAGCATCTTCAACAAATGGTGCTGGCAAAACTGGATCTCCACCTGTAGAAGAATGAAATTCAATACTTATCTTTCACCTTGCACAAAAGTCAACTCCAAATGTGTCAAAGACCTCCATGTGAAACTCAAAACTCTGAAGCTCTCAGAAGAAAACATTGGCAATAACCTAGAAGATACAGGTGTAGGAAAGGATTTTCTAAATCAGACAGAAGTTGCTCAGGAATTAAGGTCAGCAATCAACAAGTGAGACCTCATTAAACTAAAAAGCTTCTGCACAGCAAAAGAAACAAATCAAGAAAGTGAACAGAAAACCCACAGAGTGGGGAAAAAGTCTTCACCTGTGACACATCTGATAGAGGTTTAACTACTAGAATATATAAAGAACTCAAAAAACAAAGAACCAAGAAAATGAATGACCCAATTAAAAGATGGGCTAAAGATCTAAACAGAGAGTTCTCAAAGAAAGAAATAAAGATGGCTAAGAAGCATCTTAAAAAGTGTTCACCATCATTAGTAATTAGGGAAACAAAAATTAAAACCACATTAAGATTTCATTTTACCCCAGTCAGACTGGCTAAGATGAAGAGAAAAAATGATAGGAAATGCTGGCAAGGATGTAGAAAAAAGGGAATGCTCATCCACTGCTGGTGGGATTGCAAACTTGTGCAACCCTATAGAAAGCAGTGTGGAGACCCTTTAAAAAAACTAAAAATGTACCTACCATTTGACCCAGTTATACCACTCCTTGGCATATATCCAAAGGACTCATCCTATTGAAGAGACACTTGTAGAACCATGTTTGTTGCTGCTCTTTTCACAATAGCTAAGAGATGGAAGCAACATAAATGCCCCTCAACTGAAGAGTGGTTAACGAAAATGTGGTATATTTACACAGTGGAGTTCTACTCAGCAGTAAAGAAAGATGAAATATTGAAATTTGCAGGTAAATCCATGTTTCTAGAAACTGTTATACTAAGTGAAGTAACACAGACTCAGAAAAGCAAGACATGTTCTCCCTCATTTGTGGATCCTAGCACCAAATCCTTATAATAGATGGAATCCCACTGAAATGGGCCAACAGCCCATGGAAAACAGATGATAAAGAGACCTGAAAGTTCAGTGCCTTGCCACAATGGGAGGAAGATCATCCCACACCTATCACCCCCTTCCAGGCTCAGGGACTTTTGCAGAAGTGGTTGCCAGAAAGAATGTAAGAGCTGGAGGAAGAGGTGGAGGGGTTCCTGGAAGTGTCCTCTGACCACTATGCTGGCAAGCTAGTGACACCTCCTTCCCACACTCCTCAAGGAGTTGGTGGGAGAGTCAAAGTCAGTTACCCCTCCCACCCAATCAGTCAACCTTAGCTCCATGTAGGGGAGTGGCTAAGGATATATAAGCTGAGAATGCCATGAGGCACCTCTCTGTCCATTTTGTGCGGCTGTTGGAAGTCACAGGATCTATATTTGAGTGTGTGTGGACTTTCCAGTGCAGCCGTAAATGGGGGCAGGGAGCCCACACTTCTGTAAAAAAAAAAAACTCCACCCTATGTTCTTTTAGCAAACTCAATAAACTTGCTAGGATTTTTAAAAAAAAGAACAGAGCTGATGGAAACCTTCATTATTCCACCAAAGCTGACCCCATGTTGGCAAATCCTTTGGTCTTTGATTTCTTATTTCTATTCCCCCTACCCTTAAACTTCTCTCTCTATATATATTTATGTAACATGCTTCAAGTTATTTCTGAAAAAATGTGTTAAAAATTGCCTCTCTTCAGAATTAAAAAAGCAATAATAATAACAGCAATAACAGTAACAGTTCATTAGGAGTCATGACTAAGACTGTATGAAAACACAAAACAACATGTGAGTTGGGAGAGGGAGTGATGAAAGTTTCAGAGTTCTTATACTATTTAGGGGGATGAAGAGATTGATTTTAGATTTTGATAATCATATAAAATTGTTGTGTTCACATTGGTTGTATACATAGCAAATTATTCTGAATGATTTAAAAGTAAAATATTTTGACCTCATACTCTTATAGTGTGATATCTTCAAAATCAGAAAGAGCAATGATAATTTTTTTAATGTTAAGGGTAACCTCCAAAAGAATGGAAACAGATTATAACATATATTTGATGTAAAAACTCAGTCCCAAGGAAAGCAAGAAAAAAATAAAGCAAGCACAGAAAGTTAATAAAATACATATACCAAGCTTAGCATTCAAAAGACATATATTTCAGTCTTCATTAAAACAACAAAATCCAATTGTAAACTGCTTACACGAAACAAAATAGAAACATATAGAGAAGTTGAAAACAAATGAATAAAGATAAACTAGGCAAATGGTTATCAGAAAAAACCTGTAGAGCTATATTAGCATTAGGTAGGGTATGTTTTTTGGTAAATGGCATTGGTAGGAGACAAGAAGGTTGGTTACTATATAATATTAAAATATATAATTTACAGAGAAGATAAAGTTGCTTTAATTTTGTATGCCTCTAATAAAATAGTCTCAAAATATATAAAGGAAAATGAGAGCAAATTAACAATGACTTTGTAAAGTCATTTCTGAGGATAAAATACAAATATGAAAGTGATTTGTGACTGAACATAATCTCCACAGTTTTATCTTGCCAGATGTCCAGATTGTCTGATAACTGTTCATAGGAGTTTGCATCCATCTAGTACATGGAATCTGATTAATGAATCTTTTAAAATGCAGAACTGGCTAAGTAGAGGCTGTATTGAAAGCAATAAGCATTCATCTCACACAGAGATAGGAAATTATGTGGTAGCAAAGTTGCTTAAACTAGTACCTTTTGTCCCTTAGAATGATGCCAAATGGTGAGAGTCAACTTGGTAACAAAATGTCATAGAATTAGAGTATGTTTAACTATTTCAAGAGTATCCAGTGAAAGGATAACAAAGACAAGGTGTTGGATAAAGTGTGCTTTGCTTAGAGTATAGTACATATAAGCAGGCAGATATGTAGCTTTGTAAGAGGAATAGCTTGCCTGTAAGAGGAATTCTTGTCACCAAGAATCAGTGACAGCCAAAGCCCAGATGATCGTGTGCCTCGATGGATGAGAGCTATTGAAAACATGTTTTGCCTTGTTTCTAAAGCTGTTTAGGAAACTCTGAAATCCAGGCAGTTGGAATGAGGGTACTAGGAAGGAGTCCTAGAAGTTAGGCCACCCCTCCAAAGTTTACCTCGCCCTTGGGATAGCGGTAACGATATTTATCTTGGTCCCGTAGTGCAAATTCTTCAGGATAGTGTTCCTGGATTTCTTCATAGGTCATCTCCTCACAGACACCCTACAAAAAATATTTGGGAGCAAAAAACTTCACCTGGTGAAATCCACACGGATTTTTCCAGTTCTGAGACCAATGATTATGGAACAGTAGAACACCTGGGCTTCTGTCAATCTGTGCTTTTGAGTTGTACCTGTTGCCTGTGGGGTGAGGTGTGTAGTTGTACGGGCGTGAGGACAAGTGTACATGGATGGGTGTGTTCAGGATGATATATGATGTCTTCCTTTGATTGTCACAGTAGTTCTAGTACATTATCTATTACAAGTATGTATTGTCATTAATATGTAGACATTTATTACTGTTTGCAGGTGTGTATGCAACATGCTTATTATGTATGCTAGAGGTATGTTGAAAGACTTTTGTCTTGTGTTTGTGTGTATATTGTATGTCTCTTTCTGCATATGTAGTGTGTTTGTATTCTCAGTATATGTATAGGGTGCCTACGCATATGAGAATATGCCCATGCGGGTGACTCTGTGGTATGTTTTCATATGTATTTCAGTGACATATGTATCCATGAATGTGTGCATCCCACAATGTTTCTGCTGCACATGTGTATCTGTGTGCCTATATCTGACGTCTGTGAACTTGTAGTAGTATGCTTGAGACTAGGCATTGGTGCTGGGTATATGTCAATGGTATGCTCATCTGTGTCCATATGAGGTGCATGTATACATATGATACATGTGCCTACACTTATTTCTGGATGTGTGTGAATATATGGTGCAGGCATTATTGGTAGAAGAGCGTCTCCATGTCTGTACAGTGTCTATGCACCTATAAGCATACTTGTGGCAGGTATCTGAGACTATACGCAAGTATATAAAACAGTGGTGCTTTCCCATTGTACAGCCTTCCTATCCTTCCTGCCCTGCCGTCAATTTTAGAATCTCTGAAAAATAAAGAAGAAATGTATCCACAGACATTTCAGAATGCAGAAATAAGAAATTCTTAATGATTTCAGAGTGGGTACGAGGAGATACATTCTGAGAACTTCTAAGTCAGCTGCGAAATCCCCACAGGTGAAGATGCTGGTGGTGGTGATGAGAAGTGATGCTGGATTTCTAACGTTTCCTTCCAAGTGTGTGAGTTCCAATTAAACCCTCCTGTGGGGGGATGGGAGCACCAGCTTCTGGTGGTTGTCTTTTTAGATCATCTACCAGGCTTCCTACAACCTACAAACAGTTCTGCAATGTCAGACTTTTTGAATGGGCATTGCCCATGGAGAAAAGTATACCTACTAAGTGTAAAGATCCTTCTAGACTGACTTCAACCTTCTATCCTGAGGTGTGAGAAAGCCTTTACAAATTGAAATTTCACAGAACTTTATAAACCAAATAATTATGTTTTGAGAACATTAAGAACTATGTACTCTCTCTAAGAAAAACACTGTAATCAGTTCTATCTACAGTGATTTGGGATCCCGATGTAACTCTTACAAGCTAAGATGAATGCCTAATTTTAATTTTATACTATGCTCCCTATTTGTGTCTTGGTTATGCCCCTGACTCAGAACAATTTATATGTGTCTGAGATGTGACAACAATGACATTAAAATAAACAATGACATTGCAAACATCTCCCTCACAGATGTTGTACGCAATATGGGGTCATAGATTGATGACATCTGTCTGTGAGTTTGTGAACAGTTCTGAGTCAGTAGGGTCAGAAAAACAACTTCTTCCTTTGTAAACTGTTATCAGAAATTCTTCATACCGTACTTAATATGCTGTTCAATAAATGTGAGGGGAGCCCTTTGTTATATGATAGAGTCAAATAGAATAGAATAGATGAAGAATAGAGTAGAATAGAATGCAGTTCTGAGAGACTAGTTCCAAGAGGATTCAGAACACCTCAGAACAAGATGGGCCCACTCTTGGTTAAGCTACTCTAAAGAGTAAAGTTTCTCATTAATGTAGCACGACCACACTGAGGTACATTGGGAGCCTTTTGCCTGTGGAAATGGCCACTGCCTCCTTATTTTTGACTTTAGGCAAAATGCTTAAATATTTCCAAATTTTATTTTCCTTATGTACAAAAGGTAAGAACTTATAGCTACCTTAGAGAGGTGTTTTGAATATTAATGTTAATGTATGAAAAATACTAGTTCCAAATACACAAGGCACATGAAAGACTCGATCACTGGAATTAAAAAGTAACGTCCTTACTAATTATGGAAAATAAACCAGAAACTTAGGTATCATTTTAAACCCTTGCTTCTTCCTTACAACCCCCTATGCCCAATTCCTGAGATTCTATCTTGTAAATCCTTCTAATATCTATCCCTTTTACTTACCTCCCATGTTCACTTTACAACTTCAGCACGTCCCCATATACCCAATACTCTTTGCTTCTGCTACCTGCTCTGCCTGGACTATCATTCCTGATTCTCTCCCCCTGGTTCACTCCCACTTAGTGTCTCGGGCTTCAACTAGGCATTGCTTTCTCTAGGTGGATCCTATTTGGGACACTTTCCTTACCCTGACTTTTTTGTGGCCATAGTTTTATCAGTGTCATAGTGTTTTATATTCCTCTGTCTATTCCCCTATCTTCCCTATTTAGCCTGAAAACTCACTACAGAGAGAAACCAATCAGATTAATCTCTGCCTCTAGCACTACCTGAGAACATAATAAAAGTAGGTGTTCAATTAAAGCTTATACCACATGTGGACCAGAAATAAGCAGCATCTAAACTCTTTTTAAATCAGTTTTTATTTATTTATTTATTTATTTATTATTTATTTATGTGTGTGCCTTCTTGTCTGTATGTATACCTCATGGGTGTAGGTGCTCGTGGAGGCCAGAAGAGGGTGTTGGATCTCATGGAACTGGAGGTACAGACAGTTGTGAGGCACCTGATGCAGGTGCTGGGAACTGGACCTGGGTTTTCTGCAAGAACAATATGTACTCCTAATCGTTGAGCCATCATCTCTCCAGCAATAGCATCTAAACTCTTATGATGAAGATTTACATAACGGCATGCACTTATTTTATTGCAAATGTATGTAATATGTAAAATAACCCTTTACAGCCCTTTTTAAAAATATGTGTGATTCTGAGCATCTATATTTGTATATATGTATATATATAAATATGTATATTTATATATAAATGTATAAAACATATATTTATCAACAGACGTATATCTAGTATCAAGCAAATTAAACTATCCACATGAAAATTATCCACAATTGTAATGAAGCTCTTGTTTGGGGGTCTAGTAACCCAAAACTGTGGACCCAGTGACAATGTAACCAAAAACATGGATAAGACAGAGGAGAAAAAATAACTCCTTTCAAAAATAGCTCATAGGGAAACATGACAGTGAAGGAAGATTGCCATGTTGTCTAGTTTGGATTCTTCTCTCCTACTGCTTCCTTACCCCTTACAGCCCAGTGAACTGTTAAGCCCCACTGAAATGTTCCCCATATTTTTGTTCCTCATTCCATCTCCAATGCTGCTGCTCTGCTCCCATAGGCCCATATCTCTTGCCACACTAATGCAGACACTTCCTGACTGGTCTACATGCTCATTCTGACATTTTTCCCATTTAATCTCTATAGATTCCTAAGCGCAGGCTTAAAAAAGTGTGATCAAGCAGGATGTGATGGCACATGACTATGATCCTAGCATATGGGAGGCTGAAACAGGGGGATCATGACTTTGAAGGTAGCCTGGGCTACATAATGAATTCCAGGCTAGCAGGGGTTATATTTGGAGATCCTGCCTCAGAAAACCAGGAAAGAAAAGAAAGAAAAAGAAAGAGAAAAATGTATAATCACACTCCTCTTTGACTTAGGCCATAAAATGGCTTATTGTTAAGGCAGTATTCAGACTCTCGTCTTCGACTATAAGGCCCTGTGGCCTTTTTTCCAGACTCATCTTCTTTCTCACTATCAGTGTTCTAGCATTTCTGTCATTCTTTGTTTTAGTTTTCAGAACAGGCCATGTTCTTTACTCACCTCTGAACCTCTACATGAGTTGTTCTTTGTCCCTGACCTAAATTTGTTGTCCTAGCCCATTTTTTTCCTTGTTTCTTACCTCACCCAGGTAAGCCTTCTTTCTAAATCTCCTTCCCACATCTGGTCAAAAGCACCCTTACTTTCTGATCCTCCACAGTCCCTTATACGGCCCCTCACAGGACCTTCTGTCACACTGACATCCTGATTGCGATCTGCCTTTGGGTTCCATGAGAATGAAGCACCAACCTTGTCAATTCTGGACTTCGCCAGACCCCAAGACACAGAATAATTTCCACCACATGATGAATTAGTTTGATGAATTAATTGGGTTCCCTGTAAGAACTAGAGCAGGGGTAACCTAAGAGCTAAGCCCAAACTCACCCCCACCCAGCTTGCCAGGAGATTCACTCCTTCTATCTCACCGCGTCAATCTCATTCAGAGCCTTCCACTGCTCATAGGGGACACCTAGGGCCTCAGCTGTCTGGATGGTCCTCTTCATGTGGCTGGTCCATACCTTCAGGGAGCTGATGCCTTGAGACTGAATGAAGTTGGCCAGGGCATAGGCATACTAGGGTGCAAAAGAAAGGGAGGGGAAAAGAGGTGAGAAAGGGAAGAGTTAAAGAAGCCATAAAAATAAGCACAAATCTTTTCATGAATGGTGAGCTAGTGATGAACAAAAACAAAAAGGAGGTTTAAAGGTTCCAAAGTTATACAAAGATGGAGCTCAGAGTTGCCTAACATATGTTGAGGTGCTGGGTTCAATCCTTAGCACCACAAAAATTATATAAAGACATACTTTGTGAAGGAAGGATACAGAGAGGGTAAATCAGTGGATACAAAGTTGCAGTTGGACAGGAGAGATATGTTCTAACGCACAGTAGGGGGCCATAGTAAAAACTAGATGTTTCATATTTCCAAATACCTAGAAGATTCTGAATATTACCACACATAAATGATAAATATATAAGGTTATATAATATATAAGGCTGCTGTATTGAAATAGTAAATTGTACCTGATAAATATATACAGCTATAAAGTGTCAAAAATAAAATAATGATATTCTTTCCCATGTGATTAAGGATCCAAGAAAGAGAAAAGAGTATGCATGTTTCTCTCTCTCTCTCTCTCTCTCTCTCTCTCTCTCTCTCTCTCTGCGTGTGTGTGTGTGTGTGTGTGTGTGTGTGTGTGTGTGTGTGTGTGTGTGCATGGTCACTGCTGCTTGCTTACTGAGCCTTCTGGTGACATCCTGCACTTCCAGGTATCTTTAGTACATGTTTGTGTTTAATCAAATCACATGATCAAGTTCTGGTCATGGTCTATCTCCAGTGTTTCTCTTGTTCCACAAACACTGACCTCGTGGCTATATTTGGGCCTAAGGGTGAATGTTCTTGTGACCATGGCCTGTCCTCAGGTAGAGATTCTGAGCCAGGTTGATATAGGAACTGATGTAGATTAGCGGCTATTAAAGAAAGGTTCTAAGATTTGAAGTACCCAGAATGTGGTCTGGAAGTATGGGCGGTGGGATCTGAGAGATAAATCTCTGTTGCTGTTAATTCCTATTGTTTGAATGGGGGACCTGGTGCCCAGATTTAAAGGGTATTCACATATGTGTTGAGTATTCATGTCCTTGTGCTTGGTGCTGGAGTGTTAATGATCTCAAGATCTACCCTCTCAGAGAGAGAAACAATAGCAGTGCAGAAGCGCTATGGGAGCCCAAAGGAGCAGGAGATCCTCTCTCATTCTACAGATGTGTACTAGGTACATCTGCACGGTCAGTGCACATAGAATAAGTCCTTGCCTGGGAGGATATGAGACAGGAAGTAGCTCCCATACAAATTTCCTGCGTGCCTTACTTCCAGCCTGTAAGATGTGAGCAGCATTTGTTTATCCAGCATTATCTCTGTATTAATACCACCTTAAAAGGTCAGTGGAGAGCACCCAGACCACTACCTGATAGATGCTGCTTAAGTAGCTGCTACACACACAGGGGTAACAGGCCTTTGAAACTAGGTCTGGTGCACTGTGCTGAGGAGTGTGAAGGTTGAGCCTGGTGTGTGTCTGTGTGTGTGTGTGTGTGTCTGTGTGTCTGTGTGTGTCTGTGTGTGTCTGTGTGTGTGTACATTTGGCTGAGGCCAGTCCTGTCTCTGTTGTTGTATACTAGCCATGTGACCTGGAGCTGCTCTCTGCTCCTCTGTGGCTCAGCTCCCTCATCCATAAACAGTGACGGCAATGCCCAGTTCACATCGCTGTTGACAATCAAAATGAGGCCTCACGTGTGAAGACCGATGGTACTGTGGTTGTGCATAGGTGTCCAATAAAACACTACGGCCTTAGGATGGGTGCCCTTCCTGCACTTCAGTTCCTACATGTGCCACCCCAAGAGATCTTCTCTCAAGCATTATGTGTACTAACAAGCCCAGGCAGAGGACCAGAGGTTAGAAAAGAATCCCTCTATGTAGTCAGTACCCAGAGTGCATGGGTTACTATGCCTGCCTGTGGGACAGGGAAGACTCACGATCTGAGTCAGTGACAGACCAGATGTCCCCAAAGGCCAGTGACCTACCTGGGAAAAGATTTGATGGGGAGGACTTCCTGTAGGACTAGATCTTGGAGCAGGAGTTGGGTCTTGGAAGGGATGGGGGAAGCAAGAAGAGGCAGTAAGGGTGAGACAGGTGGTGATTGTATGGTTCCCACAACAATGTGAGGGACATCAGCTCTGAGTCATGGAGAAGAGGGATTCAGCTGGGGCCCTCAGGTCACCTGTCTGTGTACTCAACAGTCACCAGCTGACAAGACTAAAGAGGGCTGCAAAGTGGGCATGAGCAAAGAGACAGAGTGGTGAGACTGATGGGGACCCAAAAGGTAGGGGAAGGATAGACATTGTGATGGGACTGGAGAAGCAGCCAGATTTGGGCAGTCCTGAAGACTGATGAAGGTACTCAATTTGTAGAAACAGCTGGCATCATAACAATAGAAAGCAAACTAGAATACTCAGGCTGGCCTTGAATTCCAGACAATTCTAATTCAATAGCTGTAACAGGGCTGAATGGCTGATTGTGTGGAAGAGAAGGAATAACCATAATATGCTCCTACCCTATTTTGAAGCACCTTTCCTCAGGACACAGTCAGCAGCTACCCCACCTTATCCTAACCGGCCCACTCTGGGGCTCTCCCTACCTGTTTGCCTCGAGCCGAGAGGCCCGAGTCACCTCCAATGCGGCCTCTGAGGTTGAGTTCACTCTCACCATGCCGGCATAAGTAGATGGAGCGAGGTGTGACGTGGATGTTCATGAGGTAGTAGGCTGTGCGGCTCTGAACATGGTCTTGCACTCTATTTACCATGTAGCGTGTGCCCACGTCGAAAATCTTGATGTAGGACAGGTGGCTGTGCCAGACCCAAGCAGGAGCAAGTGTAGCTCAGAGGTTGAGGGCAGGGAGGGTTGATCCCAAGAGAAAGTCCCAACCATACACCCTGCTTCCAATTCAGCTCCTACCTAATAAGATGCTATGCCATGCCCTGTTCTGGCTAGATGTCCTAGAGATCTAGTTCCTGACCACCCCAAGGAGCTCATCACCTGCTACCATCTCTCCCATCATCTTTCCTCAGCTTGAATCAACCTGTCTTTTCACCTTCATTAATCACAATGCGATCGACTGAGTTCTTTCCTGTATAGTTTACATCTTAAGAAACAGTAATCCTCTGTATACTTGACTATGTCCAACATTTCAATGGCAGTTATTGTCTTGTCCATTCCCTAACCTTTTCCAGTCATAAACTAGCCTCTTTGTTCCTTAATGTTTGGATTTCTGTCATGATACCTTATCTTTTACACTGTATGGGCAGCTACCAGATTATGTCTGTATGTAGATATGTTTGTGCATATATGTGTATCTCTCATCAGACAAAGTGTTGGGCTGGGTTCTTATTCTCTCCCTGTATCAAGGCATTGTGCTCCAGGTAGGGATCCAGGTCTGTCTTTGGGAACATATACATGGAAGACATGAACAATATTCAATATTCATTTCACAAACAGCATGATGTACCAAGTATTGGTGTGTAGGGATACAGAGATAGCCCAGAATGTCGTTGGTAAACTTGGCAAATCTGTGGGTCCTTGTTCCAAATTTGTAGTTGTCCCCTCAGTTATGTGATCAGTTCTAGGAACTGTATGCTTAGTGATAAACTAACAATTTGTCTCTGGAAGAGCTGGGAGGCAGGGGTGAGGATATCAACTAATCAGAAGACATAGAACCATGAAGCAAAACTTCTAAGCCTTCTGTAATAGCCATTAATCCTCTAATTATTTGATTGTAAGGAGCTCAGAGAGTCATGGAAAGAGGTGTAGAAACTGGGGCAATAGGGTGATACCAGCCGCACAGAGCCCAGATGGGTTTGGTTTTAGAGAGCCTCTGCCTTGATCTCCCTAGAGAAGTCCTTTATATCTTCACCTAACTCAGCCTTCTCAGCTCTGAGATCCATGTCCAGTGGCTTCCACAGAACACTTTCATTTATTGAACATTTTTTGTGCATCTTACAGAGTGGGGAATTTAACAGTGTATGAATCCTCATATCTATCATACAGAGAATAGGTCATCATGTGTTTTTATGTGTGAGAAAGCTGAAGCACACAGAGAAGCAATTTGCCATAGAACGTCTCCCACTCTTTAGGACTCCCAGAGCCTAGGAGCAGAATATATCTGATGTGATCTCATAGCGTGTTTAACTGTCTGTTCCTAATATGAGAGCCTGTGTAGCTCTAAGGGAACTTTCAAATTCCATAGTTTTGTCTGATATTTCAAGTGCATTTACACACTTTCCTCATCTCACTGTACTCATAACTTTTTTATTCTTGTATTTATGCTTTTGCTCTTCCACTTTGAATATTCTGTACTCCTTTTCTCCTACTCAGAGCTAATTAAGGCATTACAAAGTAGTTTTCTTTTTGCTTGAAATGATATCCCTTACCTAGTTTCCAAAGTTGAGGTCTTATGTATTTGTCTCTCAAAGGCCAGGACATTCACTCTTTCCAAGAACAATCTGAGTTTAGAATTTTCTGGAGTCATTTATAATTTCTTTTTTATTTTTGTACTTGCAGCAAACGTTACTATCAAAGTCCACTCACAGGCCAGAGTGGAGGGTTAGCGAAAACCTGCCACTCAGGCAGCACACTACCTACACTCGTGAGTTCATTGGCCAGTTCGTGACGTCAACTCCAAGCTCTAACAATGTGCATTATAATTTCTTAATACCAAAAGTATAAAAGTTCATGCTCATCTCTCAACATATACAATTTAAAACAAAATATATAAAGTATATTAATGAGGGCCTATCACATTCTGGATTTATTTTTTCTTCTTTGGCTACTTTGTTGCTGTTTTATAAATACTAAAAGTTAAATGATCTTAGGATAGTTTTCTTCTTATATTTTGGAAGCTCAAGCATTGATAATGTCATGAACACATATTTAGTTTTCTTACTGAGTAATCTAGCTCTGCCAGGCATTCTTCCCCCAAGGTGGGCCAAGTCCCCTGCTTTGAGCTTTTCAACCATCTGACTTATTGTTCCTACAACTGGGATCAACTGCGCCTTCTCCCAAACAACTGGTCATTCTACCAAAACAAGGATATCACCCTTGTCTCTTTGCATTACTTAAGCACAGCTAAGACTGCTTATAATGTACGAACTCCAAATTTCTAGTGTAAAAATAGTTAAATAAAACTGGTCTTCTACATTTGTCCTTTTCAGGCCCAATGGACTCAACAAAAACAACAGAAACAAGCAAATAAACAAACAAACAAAAAGCCCAACGGAGTCCCTCTAGGAGTCTAGACTCAAGTGTGGGGGCTTCCAATGATGACATTCTTTCCTTTTGGCACCCTTCTTGCAAGCTCCTTCTTTCAAATGCTGTTAGCCCACGTGGTGCCTTTATGGAAATCTGAGTGAGTCACATTTTTCTCAAAGCATAAACAATCCCACTCCATCACAAGCCTTCCTGAGAGAAGCAAGTTTAACCTTGACCAGGGAGCACGCATAGTGAGCAAGCTATAAACTTGTACACAAATGCCATGCCCTTTGCATTGAATTTCTAAGCCCATCTGATATTTTCTATGATATAAGGATGTGGAAGGGAGAAATCAGGCTGAAATTTGGGGGATACAGGCTTCATTCTATACATATGCTGTTGCCGTTTCATTGTGTGGTCCTTTGATCTGATCTGGGTCTCAGTTTCCCAACCTATGAAGTGATAATGCCTATCTCTTTACACTTCCATTAGATAATGTTGAAAGGATACTATTTAAACTTCTTAGGTTGGTAATGACTATTTAAGGCCTTTTTACACTTCAAACTTGGGTCTCTGAGGATGTGATGACCAGAGTCTCTTTTCATTAGAACCCATTTTGAAAGTGAGGTTCTCCAAACACTTTACATCTAAACTCACATCTGCCCTAAACTTTGAGCTAATACTTCTTATCTGTACGTGGTAGTATGAAAGAAAATCTCTTATTTTAATGAATCTTTCCATATTTGAAGGCACTGTGGAAGCTACCCTAAGGACAGAATCCATCTCTTTTGCACCGATTTACAACCCTCTGCATACACTGCAGCTCAAAGTTGCCAAAGACTTGCTGATTGAAGGGATACACAAGAGCTGTGACAAGTGACATGATAGGAGACAGAATATATGGTTAGACTTCTATCTCCTACTCTGACTTATGGTAGGAACCTGGAAAAATAGCTTCAGATCACTAAGATCCAGTTTCCTCTTTTTGAATATTTATGATCACAAGATCTATCTCAGCCTCCTTTCTCAAGGTACTAGAGAGATGTGATGAAAGACAGAAGATGGACATATTTAGAAAGCGAGGTGCTATCCATGTGCAAAGAGTATTTTTGCAATAACAACAGCAATGCCCAGAAGAGATAGCATTTGTTCCCAGAGATCAGAGTCCTGATCTGTACCTATTGCACAGAAAAGTAAAACTTCAGTCAACTCATGAATACTTCTCACATCAAGGAATCACTGCCTCATAGAAAATTCAAGCTGGAAGGGTCCATGAAGACAGATTAAGTCCCACTCCTGATATTACAGATAGAGAGGTTGAAGCCTGGACAAGGATGGTACTTTCTAAGGTCCTATAGAGCATCAATACTGGGCTAAGGCTCCAGACATTTACTTTGGGGTGCTAGGCTCTTACCTGTCTAATTCCTCATCCAAAGGTTGGTAGTTGATCTCATAGCACTGAATTCTCTTTAGAAAGTCTTCTAAGACCTTTTCTTGGTCACAGTCTATGTAGTCAGGACTGCCAAGTTTCACTTGCTGGGAGAAGGGAGAAAGAAGGAAGAACCGCCGATGGAGACACTGGGAGACAGAAACTCTGACAGTATCCCTGGAAAGGGCCCTTAAAGACCACTGACTTCCACACCCCTCATTACAAAGGCAAGGAAGCTGAGATTTTAACAAGGGTTTTTACCCAAGTTTAGAAAATTAGTCAACTAAAGAGAAGTTGTGCTGCATGTTACAATATATTTAGCTCCAGAGCACACACCGCTTAAGAACATTTATAAGAGGACTAGAAATGTGATGTGAGGAAGTGGCTACAGAAGAAGAACCAGAGATCTTGACTGGGAGTTATAACAGCTTTCATGCATTTAGTCATTACTGAGAAAATAGGCACATTGTCATCGGATTGCTGAAGGACTGCTATATCCTCATCTCCCAATACCCGCCTTCTCCTCCTATGGTTCTCATCTCATCCACCCAACCACCTGAGTCTACATGGAATCTGGGAGTCATCCCAGATGCCACATTTCATCATCTCTCATTATTAGTATGAACTGAATCCTCTCTGATCTCTCTTTTAAACGGCCATTCTCTGTTGTCTGTGTACACTCTCTGGTGCTTTGTGACCGATTACTGATAGCCAGACGATATTTTTTTAAATTAAATTTATTATTATTATTATTATTATTATTATGACACATTGTATTATACAGTGTGGGATTAGAGGGCACATGAGTACCATGACACACATGTGGAGGTCAAAGAATGACTTTATGGAGTTAGTTCTCTCCTTCCACCTTTACATGGGTTCTGGCGATCAAATTCAGGTTATCAGGCTTGTGTAAAGAGCACTTTTACCCATTGATCCACCTCATAAGCTTAGAAGGATATTTCTTTTTTAAAAATATTTTATGATTTTTATTTTATGTGTATGAGTGTATTCCTTGCATGTATGTATATGCACCTGTGTCACGCAATGCCCACAGACATGAGATGAAGGCATCAGATTCCCCTGGAACTGGAGTTATGGACAGTTGTTAGCCACTATGTGGGTGCTAGGACTCAAACCCGGGTCCTCTGCAAAAGCAGTCAGTACTCTTAATGACTGAGCAACCTTTCCAGCTCCTAGAAGGATATTTCTAACATGCAACAAGAAATGGGATTCTCCAGATTAAACTCTTTCATATAATTTAGGACAGAATGTGAATTATTTTAGTGAGTGGATCATTACTTGTCATGCATGATTAGCTTCAAATTGCCTTTTCATCATCATCTCTCATTGCTCTCCTATTTGAACACACACTTTGCTTTATCTAATCAAAGCTTCTTATAGTCATACTATAAGATGTCATACTTAGTGTATGTTATTCCTTCATTCCCATTTTACCTGTAAATTTTCCTTACATTCATCAAGATACCTCCACTGGAAGGCCGTCCATGACATACCCCTATATGCAAGACTGGCCCTCACCACAGTGTTCCTACAACCTCTGCTGTTCCCTTATCTCAGCTTTAAACTCAACTCTGTCTATATACTTGTCAGTGTCTCTAACTAGCATGTAAGTTCAGGAGAAATGTTCTCATTAACTATTTTTATATCAATAGTGTCCAGAACGATCTATCCAGGTATAAAATCAGTTTCTTCTGAATCAGTAAATGGATGGATAATTAGATGGATGAAGAGGAAGACAGGTAGAAATACTGCATGACCCAAGTGATAAAAACAGGACAAGTGGGCAGAAGTTACAGGGAGATAAATAACAGTATGTCTAAAGGGAGGTAAATAACAGGATATTTTAAAGGGGAGCAGAAAAATTCTATCCTTCAGGGAAGTTCCATAAACTCAGGAAGTAAATAACTCAACAGCTTAAGGAAGTCGCTGAAATTGGCCAGATTCACTAGGCCCCTCCCTCCCCAAACTAATAACACTCAAACCTGTCAAGCTGTATGGAAGAAGGAGACCAACTGAGCTGCCTGGAAGCTGAGCTGCTTTGAAAAGACTTAGACCAACTGAGGTACCTGGAAAGAACACTGCCCAACCTGTTGAGCTACCTGCAGGTTATGTAGTATGCACCAGACCAGGTTTCCTGCTTTTATGAGCTGTCACCCATGGTGAGCTTTTTGTGATGCAGCTGTCTTTGAGTCCTGCTCATGTAAGTAACCTCTCATACATATTCTTATAAGTAACCCAGTAAAATCCATTGTTTCACCAAGATGGACCTTGGTGGTATCCTTACTTTGGTCTGTCATTGGTTCCCCATCTGGGGTGAGTAGACATTTGTTTACATCTCCCAAGGAATAGTGTCACACAACAAATCTAAAACCAGTGATAATTCTGGTACAAAGTGTGGGGCAGAATAAAGAACATTGGTTTTTGAGAAAGACAACCAATTCTGAGGTGCAGTCCTAGTTCCATCTCTTTCTAGCTGTATCAGTCAGACAACTCATCTCTTTGAGGCTTGGTTTCCCTTCTTCAGCAGAGAAAGAATCGCCAACATGCAGGTTTGTTGTGAAAAAAATTAATGAGAGTCAGGCTTAGTGCTTGATGCATACTAAGGGCTCTATATATGTTGGCTTTGTCTAATTTTATAGGAACATGGTGGACAAGGATGTCCAAATAATACTTCTTATACAAAGTGGGAGGAACACTTTCTTTAAGTTTATAATGGTCCTTTTAGGCATGATACAAGCCCAAGACGAGTAAGTTGGAAAGGGGGCTGGGAAGATGACTCAGTGGGTAAAGCACTTGCCACTCAAGAATGTGGGTCTCTGTTTGGATCTCAGGAACCCATGTAAAGTTGGACATAGCCATGTGTGTCTCTATTCCCAGTGCTTCCATAATGAATTGGGATGTGCAAACAGGAGAATTCCTTAGAAGCTTGTGGGCCAGCTAGCCTTGCATATGCAGCAGTGAACAAGAAGAGATCCTGTCTCAAACAAGGTAGAAAGTGAGGACTACCACCGAGGTTATCCACTGACTTCCACACGCACCATCACATCTCTCTCTCTCTCTCTCTCTCTCTCTCTCTCTCTCTCTCTCATTACATTCATTACATATACATACACACAAATTTTACAAAACTATTTTTAAAAAGAAGAGAGGTAATTGGTGTTTCTTACCCTGATATTTTCTGCAATGATGTCAGGGTCATTACAAATGGATTCAATGAAGAAGACCTGTAAGAGAATAAGAGTGAGATTTCCAGAAAAGGATTATATTTTATAGGAGCCAAACACATTTACTCCCCTCAATAGCTCTGAGTCTCTTCAGGGACATTTGTAAAAACAAGTTTCCATACAATGGGGCTTTCTGGTGTCTGAATTCTAGGAGGCAATTTGACTCTAGCTGAATGGCCCCAGATTTCTGCTTTATGTTTTAATTGATTTTGGTTCTTGTATATGTTTCTGATAGTGGTTTTCATGAATCTTTCATCATTGCCACCCCACTATCTCCAGTATCCGCCTGTCAGAACCCATCTCCCACTACCTAAATGACATTTATCCTTTTCTTTTATGTTTTGCTGCTTCTGACTATATTCTGGAAAGCTATACAACCAAATTATGATGCTGAGCCCATGTTGTCCAATTTGACTGCTCTAGGTTGAACTTCTTTGGCGTTTGTGTTAGATAAATAGGCTCTAGCTAAAAGTGCTTGTGTTATTTTACCTTGTAGCCATGTTCTTTAGCAAACTGCAGAATCAGTGATCGTCGTTCTCTTGTAGTGTTAGTGGCATCAAAAACCTAGGGACAATTCAGAAGATTGGCTTACTCTCAGTCTAGTGCTCACACAATACCACTCTTTGTTCACTCTTGTGCTAAGTGCAAGACGTCCCGACAGACAGAATTTAAAGAATCTTAAAGAAAAAGAAAGGTTTGGAACTGGCTTATGTAAATTTCAACAGGACTCATTGAGCCCTTACTGTCTTCGCAGAAATGTGCCAGACCCTCTGAGTGTAATAAGGCTTGAGAAAAGTTGTGAATTTTTATTAGGATCATTTTATAGGTGAAATAACAGGTCTAGAAGGAGGACTTTCCTTTGCAAATTTATTAAAGAATTGCCGAGAGAGCAGAGATAGAACTGGTTCTCTACATGATGCCTCTTCCTTCCTAATCACCTTAGAAATTCTCAAGAGCGGGAAACAACTACCTATCCTTAGTACTTTAGAAGGGTCCCTTTGCAGATTTGAGGACCTCTAACCCAAGGATTTAAGATATTAAGTTGCCTAGATATTTAGGTAAATCTCTAGAACTCAAAAATGTTTGTACTGTGGTTTGAAATTTTTTTTTCCTGTTGAATTCTTGAGGGAAAATCAATAGAGCACAGTGGTTAAGAATATGGGTTCTGAGCTGGGTGTGGTGGTGCATGCCTTTAGTCCCAACACTCAAGAGGCAGAGGCCAACCTGATCTATATAGTGAGTTCTAGGTTACAGGGAGACCCTGTCTCAAAAAGACAAGAAAAAGAAAAGTATGGATTCTGCAACTGCACAATATGGATTACAGTTCCGGCCCTGCCATATATACGTTGTACCACCCTGGGAAACAATTTAATCTTTCTGTGATTCTTCTGGAATCAAAATAGAGCATAATAACAGTACTTATCTCATGGGGGAGTATGAAATTAAATTATTAATATAAACTTAGAATAATACATGGCATAAATAAATACTGGCACATATTATCTATTCTCCATCCTTAGAGATAACATGAAGACAGAAAATTCTTTTTTTACAAGAATATTTCATTTACTATTATTTTTTATTCTATTTTATGTATATGAGTGTATTGTCTGCATGTATGTAAGTGCATCTTTGTCATGCAATGCCCACAGCGGGCAGAAGAGGCTATCAGATGCCCTGAACTGGAGTTATGAATGGTTGGTAGTTGCCATGTGGATGTTGGAAATTGAACCTGGGTCCTCTGCAAGAACAGCCAGGGCTCTTAACTGCTGAGTCATCTCTCCAGCCCCCCAAAATGGAAAATTCTTTACCGCAACATGACCTTCCTCACGACTGAGATAATTATGGACATCCTTTAGGGCTGCCAGAGCACACTGCCTGAAAAACAGAAAGAAGCAGACAGCCCCCATTCCCAGGGTGAGTTACCCTCTGTTTTTCCCTTATGTACCACTGTTAATATGTCTTATGATAAATTATTTGTGTTGGATATGTACATGGTGCCCTGTGTTCTAGGCATCATATCAAGCACAGAAGAGTCACACATGAAACTGGTTCTGTGTATACGGCTTAGGGGCAGGTATAAAATGACATACTCAGGAAAAGCTGAACAATGACAGCATCTCTAATTTTAAGGGCTTTGCGTGCTAATTGGGCTTAAGCTGAACTAGTTTAAGAATCCAGGTAAGGCCTAGGTGTGTGTTCTTTAAAGTTAACTTAATTCCCAGCATAGGCAAAATTGCAAGCACAAGCATAACAGTAACAATGTCCTTAGGCTTTCAGCAAAAATTCTCTTTAATAGTTATTGGTTACTGGGTCCTATAATTAATATGAACACAGATCAAAAATTGAGACCTAAGTTCCACCTGAAGTACTTAGAGCCACATAGGGGAAAGACACTTTGAGGCTGAAGTGATGAGACTGGAGACACTAAAGTAGGCCAAGCTACTGAAATACTCATCCCAAATGCTAGGCTAAGAAATTTCCATTCACTCCTAGCAGAAGTAAAAGACACTAAAAGTGTCTTGATATGGAATGCCTATGACTAGGAACAGACTTGTGCAGGATGACGGAAGGTCTGTACCAACTACCCTTTGAGAGTCTGGACACAGGGGTGTCTAGCTCACATTCTAGGATAGCTAGGAATTTTGCCCAACACAAAAATTGTAAACTTACCTAAAATATTATGAGAGATTTTGTGATTTTATTTCTTTTGTAACGTGACTCAGCTGTTGTCAAGCATGTACTTTGTAGATGATGACAACGTCATGTTTTAATGTCAAAAGGTTGAACCCTCTTGAAAGGCCTTCTCTCTGGCTCAGGCTATTTTATCCCACTCCTTCAATATGTGAAGGCTTCCCTCAGCCAGTGGGCAGCACAGGGTCTTAAATGTTGGGTACTTACTTTCTAATAAGTAGGGCCTCCATGTTGTCTGGAAGAAAGAATTCATAGTTCTTGTAGCTCACTGCTTCTCGGCGATATTGGCCTAAATTAAACACTGAAAGTAGAGAGCCCTAGTGAAGAGATTGGGAAGATCCCAATGGCCAAAAAATGTCCTTGCTGAGAGGGACCTCAGGGGTAGAAGGTATAATTTATAGCTAGAAAATGTACTTCTAAAACTGCAAATTATTGGTCCCAACATATATCTTCCATCATATCAGCCCTGCAAAGTAGGGATCATCATTCCAGCTTTACAAATGAGGAAAGTAAAGTTCAGAGATACGAATTCAAACCCAGGTCTGTTTGATTCCAAACTATTCCATGAATTCCAACCCTTTAAATGTCCTGTTCACTTGGGAAGATGAAGAGAATAAAATCAATCACCCAGGAGCAAACCAGAACTGAGTTAATAACATACAAACTAGGCCTCCTTAACTCTTAGCCTAAGGTTATTTTACCATTCTGTATCATGAAGGAGAATCTAAATGTAAATCTCTAGGCTATATATACTTTCCTATATATAATGATGAAAAACCAGAGAGGAATGACAGAAAGGAGACAGGATAAACAGCCAAAGACATAATATTCCATTAAGTATTTATTCAATAAATAACTTCCTACTCTGTGAAGTGGGATGACTTTTGAGTCACAAATAATAACTGGGTCTTTGTGATGGGGACCTCAAGCAGCTCATAGTCTAGAAGATAAGACAGCAACCAAACTAGGAAACAGGAGAGCTCCCACAGAACAGGAAGGAAAGAGAAATTCCACTGGGAGATGTGATCTGAGAGTTTCTTAAAGAAAGTATTTGAACAAAGTCTTTTAGGGTAGGTGCTTTTCACCAGGTGGGCATGAGAGTGACAGTGGGGGACAAGAGCATTGCAGGTAGAGGAATAACTTAAGCAAAGTAGAAGGTAAAACATGTTTGGGGAAAACGTAAAACATGCTGTAGCTGGAGTCTGAAAAGCTGAAATGAGTCGACTATGGGGAGTCTTGAATATAGGCTAAAGGGCTTGGGTTTAAAACCTACAGACCAAGGAGACCCTTGGAGAATGTGGGCATATCAGTCTTGTGCTTTAAAATAGGACTCTGAATGCATATTTGAGAAGTAAGTACACAGGAGAAAGGGTGATCAGGACAGAGACCATCTGCCACTGTGTTATGTACTTCTTCATTCAGTAGAATGTAAACCTCTATGAGAGTGGCTCTTTCCTGCCTTCCCTTCAGCAAATGTTCCCCTCCTCCCATAAGATCCAGGTCAAATATGCTCTTATCCATGAAGTGTTTGCTGTCTTCTGGTCAGCAATTCCCTCTGTGAGCACCCTGCATAAGAATTCATGGCCTAGCCTAGGTATTCCTATGTATCCCGTTCAAGTGAAGAACTCTTCAAGAACAGGACGTGAGTCTCATCCATTTTTATCATCCCCAATGCCTGGCATGGGTTTTGACACATGGAAAACTATTGGGACTCTCAAGTGAACTATATACAGAAAGTGGATGAAGGGCGGGGACAAATGGAGAGGGAGAAGATTTCAGTGCTACAGTGTAACTCAGTGATAGAGTGTGTGCTTATCATAAACAAGGCCCTGGGTTCAATTCTTAGCACAAAAAAACTAGGAAAATGGATAGAAGACTTGAAGAGAATGAGGGAAAGGGTGAATGGTTGGAAGAGGGTAGAAACAATGTTGGGATCACCAAGACAAAGAAGGAGAGGAAGATAATGGATGAAAGGAGAGTCCAAGATCCTTTTTTCTTCCCTTCATTATAGCCAGTATGCATTAGACCTAGCATAGAGAATGTCAGACTTGAGATCAAATATATGCTGGTTCTGTCACTTAAAGCCATGTTCTTTTATTTATTTATTTTTATTTGGGGGGGGGAAAATCTTAACGAGTTTATTGGGTTTATTTACAGAAGAGTGCCCCTCCCCCATTTATTGCTGTGCTGGAAAGCCCACACTCAAATATAGATCCTGTGACTTCCTGACAGCCACACAAAATGGCAAGAGAGATGCCTCAAGCCATGTCCCTTTAGACAAGTTATTTCACCTCTTTGGCCTTAATTTCTTTGACTATGAAATGGTGAAGAAGTGACAATGGTTAAAAAACAGTAATAACAGTGTGACAATAATGCAATAGTGATAAAAAATATTTGTAGTACTCAGAGGGTTGCTCTGAGGTCATAGGCATTCTTGAGAGCAGATACTTGTTTTACTATGTCTACCACCCAGCATGAGATCGGGCACAGAATATGTGCTCAAGAAATTATTTAATTTATAAACATGTAGTGACAGCAGTAGGCATAGTTCTAATCCTGGTAATAGTGATGAGGCATTTTGAGTACTGAAGGTTTGGCCTTCCATCTTACTCTCTTTTCAGTTAGTGGCCTGTAGTGAGTTTCCAGAGACATACCTTTAGTTGGTGTTCCTATCCAGTTGAGATACCGTGTGAGCTTCGTAGAGATATAGGTCTTGCCTCGAGCTGGTAAACCCACCATGATCACCATCGTAGGGGAATTCGTAAACTGAGGTATGGATGCTGGAAGACAAACAGATCTTCAAAGACTTATCCTCATATTTACATGATGTCTGGCATCAGCTCAGAGATGTAGAGTTGGAAACCACACTGCTTCAATCATTACAAAAAAAAAACCCTTTAAAATGGGCATCATAACTTTTCTTGAACTCATCATAAACTGATGTTTTAGTGAAGATAGTTAACTTAAAACTTGCAAAAACAGGCACCTGCAGAAGGCAAGAGGACCCAGGAATTTTCTTACTTGATAGAAATACTGCTTAACAACGTATAAACTCATAAGAAGATTCCACTAAAACTTATTTAGTGAATTGCTAAAGGCTGGTTATGTGCCAGTGTGAAGCTCATAAAGAGCTGAAGATATAGTTTTATATCTTTTAGAGCTTTCCTCCTGGTGTTCTATCAGGTACTGTCAGAAAAGACTGAGAAAATCCTGAGAAAGATATGGCAGAGAACAGATAGATAACCATTGCTCAAAATCTGCCCAGACCATTCTCTCTATATTCTCTTTGGAAAAAAATCTTAATATTCAGAAGAAAGGGCAACACAAAGTGCAGCTTGAGAACACTGGTGGTAACTTACTTCAGTTGAAAGTCAGTCCAGACCAATCTACCCCATCTCTCCTGAAATGCAAGCCAGTCTAATCTACCAGTTTTCTCCTGGAACTCAGGCCAGACCAATCTACCCTTTCTCAACTGAGGGGGAAAATACTTCAATCTCCAGAACAAAGAAGTAAAAGTCCAAGAGAAAAAATAAACAGGGTAAAAGGAGTTTTAAAAACTCCAAAACACTCCAAAACTGTGGGACAATAACAAGGCGTATAATAAATGTGTACTTAGAATACACATAGGGAAGAAAGACTTGGCAGGAGAAATATTTAAATACAAAATAGCCAAAAGTTTCCAAAATTAGTTACTGACACCAAACTATAGATCTAAGAAGCAAAGAGAACGCTAAGCACAGTATATATCAAAAACCATACTCAGACATATAAAATTCAAATGGCAGGAAATCAGGAAAAAAATAATCATGAAAGCAGTAAGGAAGGACAGCATGGGTGAGGAACGTCTTACATACTGAAAAACAAGAATTACATGACATTTGGGAGATCAGAAACCACACTAGCAGAAAAGACAGTGTGATGAAATATTAAAATGTTCAGGGGGAAAAATTCAATCCAGAATTATAAATCCAGACAAATAAAGGCTGAGGAAATTCATCACCAGTACATCTGCTTTACAAGAAATATTCAAAAACGTCTTCTGAGAGAGAGCTAGGTCAGAAAACTGAGTCTACAGTTTAAAGTGTTGGAAAAGGACTAAATTAAGACAAAATACAATTATATATTAATATATATGTTTATTTAGAACCTGTTTTGGAAAGAAATTCTTTTTGCCTTTTTTTACTGAACTTTTGAGATTTTCATATAATACATTTTGACGGCATTTAGATCTGCTTCCCTCTCCTCACCCCCTTCTACTGCACCCCGCCCAGTTTAATGAACTCTCATATATATCAGATAGACAGATAGATAGATAGATGATAGATGATAGCTAGATAGATGATTGATAGATAGATGATTGATAGATAGATGATAGATAGATAGATGATAGATAGATAGATAGGTAGATAGATAGATAGATAGATAGATAGACCCTGTCTCAAAAGGCAAAAAATAAATAAATAAATAGATGATAGATAGATAGATAGACAGATAGATAGATAGATAGATAGATAGATAGTTGGAGATAGGTAGGTAGATAGATAGATAAATAGATAGATAGATAGATAGATAGATAGATAGATAGATAGATAGATAGATAGATAGGCCTATAGATCATGATTCGTGTTCCCCAATGTCCTTCAGTGTGGATCCATCCACTGGACCCACCATGAGTCCCAACCCTGTAAGACACTGTCTTTCCCACTCCCAGCAGTGATCAACTGCCTTAGGTTGGGTGGGGATTTCTTATTCACTTCCCTATGTCTATACTGGGATTTTGTCTGATTTAAGCTTGCATGGGACTTGTGCGTGCTGTCACCATTGCTGTGAGTTCATATGAATAAATGACCAGCTGTTTCAAAGACTCTGTTTCCTTGTGGTCATCCACCTCCTCTTCCACAATGATCCCTGAGCCTTGGGAGGGAAAGGTTTGAAACAGCTGTCCTATTCATGGATAAGTACTCTGCAGGCTCTTCTTCTCTACACATTGGCTAATTGTGGGTCTCTGTGTTAATCACCATCTGCTGTCTAAGGAAACTTCTCTGCTGAGAGTTGAGAGATGCACTCATCATATGTGTACAGATTGCTTTGAAGATGTGTCGCTTATGGTTAAGCATCTCACAGACATGTATTCTCTGCATTTGACCAGTTCTGGAATTCTGTAATAATCTCCATCGGTTGCAAAAGGAAACTTTGATGAGGGGTAAAAGGCACACTTGACTGTAAATATGAGGATGCATATTTAGAATAAAATAAGAAATTACATTGGTTTAAGGATGCAACAGAAGTAGATTTTTATCTAGGATCTATGACCTCTCCAGCCATGTTTACTTGGCTATGTTTACAGTACTGCACATGAGTTCCCTCCCATTGAGTGGGCCTTAATTCCAATCAGACAGCTGTTGACTACCCCTAAGATGAAAGTGTCACTACTACACCAATAGCGATAGTTTGCTGGACCAGTCTTTGTTGCTCATTAAGCTTCACAGTTGGATAGGACCACTGACTGGTTTTCTCCCTTGGTTGCTTTATAGTCCCCTCTGATAACATGAGAGCTAGTCTTCAGGGAGAAGGCTTCCTGGCCAGTTCCAGATGGATTGCTCCATGTCTTGCATCCAAAGTGTGGCCTGTCTTCAGCAATAAGGTCTTGCCTTCAGGTTCTGGGTGGCAGTCAAGGGCTGTGTTATTTTGGGAGTCTCTTGGACTACCCAGACCAACAACTCATAGGGAGGTTTCTCTTGCCTGGCATTGTGTTTTTTGTTACATAGCCTTCAGCTGTACACAAGTACTCATGTATTTATTATATGTGTATTTCTTAGTAGGACTTTGAACTAAAACATTTCCTTCTGGTTTCATACAATCTAAGCATTATTTATCTCTACTCTCACTCCCCCATATAGCCCTCTCTAATTCCCTCCCCAGTTAAAGTACCCCCACGTCCCCTTTTCCCCCTTAATAACACTTGCCCCCCACTCTCAAGTGCCTTCTTTCTCTTTATCCCCTGGTTCATTTCCATTTTCCTGGCTTCTGTGATTACATCAGAATGTATATACACATCTAGGGATTTCAAGCTAAGGTCCACAAATGAGAGAAAACATGTCACTTGTTTTTCTGAGTCTGTGTTTCTTCACTTAGTATAGCAGTTTCTAGTTCCATCCATTTACTGGTAAATTTCATGATTTTTGTCTTTCTTTACTGCTGATTAGGTACATTTTATTTATTTATTTTTATTTTTGGTCTTTTTTGAGACAAGGTCTCCCTGTAGCCATAGCTGGCCTGGAACTTGTTATGTAGATCAGGCTGGCCTAACCTCTGCCTCTCAAGTGCTGGGATTAAAGGCGTGCACCACCATGCCTGCCTTATGTTTTATATTCTTAATTGTTCTAAAATATAGCTCACTCTTTAAAGTAACAATAGTGATGATGTATCGTATTTATACTACATGTAAAAATGAAATGAAATACAAAATGACATAAGGAATGGGAAGAAGCAATTGCACTGCACAAGAAGCAATATAGTGTCACGTAAAGATAAACGTCAATTATTTAAAATGGTATATACTCTAAGAGTGTCACTAAAAGTGTTAAAAATGTGTAAATGATAAGAAAAAAACAGGATGTAAAATGAGATCATAACTAGTTAAATATTAAAAATAATTTCCTCGAGCTTGAAAATTTTTGTAATATAAGGCTAGGGATGTAACTCAGTAATAGGGCACTGGCCTACCACATATAAAGCACTGGGTTTGATCCACAGCACTGCAAAAATAAAATAAAAAATATGTAATAATTATATGTCGTCCCTCAGCAGTGTAACAGTACACTAGAATTTATTCGTATCTAACTATAATTTAGTAGCCATAAAGCAATCCTTCGCGCTCTTTCCTTTCTTTTCCCGTCTCTGGTAACCGCTATTCTGCTGTCAACTTCTGTAAGAGTAACTTTTTAAAGAGTCTATATATGAGAGAAATCATGCCATTCTTATCTTCCTGTGCTTGGTTAATTTCTGTTACCCCATAAATAAGGAAATTTTTTATTTAAATTTTTTTTTAAATTATTAAATATAATGAGAAAAGGAAGGGGAAGAGAAAACAAATATATATATGAATAGGTAATGTAATATATGTGTACTTAGAATACATAGGGAAGAATGAACAGACATAACAGGCAAATGTGAATATATACAGTAAACAGGAAATAGCAAGAGCAAATACAATGAACAGAAAATGGTTTGCAAGATAGGAAGGTTTTTCGGGAGATGTTGCTTATATTTTGAGATAGGGTCTTGCTATGTACCCAAAGCTGGCCAGAAACATCCTACATAGCCTAGGCTGGCCTTGAACTCATGACACTCCTACCTCAGATTCCTGAATGCTGGAATTGAAAGTGTGTGCCCCCATGCCTATCAGGATGGCAAGTTTTAATCCAAATTTATCAGCAATCACTTTCAATATGAATTACCTAAACCCACGATCAAAGACAGAGATTGTAATAGCATATAAATAAGACCCAGCTATATGATTTCTACAAACATTTACAGCTAGGTCTGATTTTGGAATCTCCTTTTATCTATCACTAACTCAAATGCAAAATCTTGAAAGAATGAACACCTACATGAATACTGGAAAGTAAGCATAGGCATAGGTAGGTGAATCAGGAAAGAACACCAGAATTTTAAAAAATAGTTAAACAGGCCTGATGGCACTTGATAGGTGGAGGCAGGAGGATCATGATCTCAAGACCAGCCTGGGCTACATAGCAAAACTCTGCCTCAAACAAAC